AATTGTGTCAAATACCCGACTAAATTCGTAAAAAAACCGACTTTAACTTAAAAATCACTTTCTTTGGAGGGGGTGGGGGTGTAACACCCCCACACCTCCCTGTAAAATTGCCTCTGGATCCAACAAACCTGGAAGTTTTATATATATATATTTTTAATAATTTTTTAATGATTGTAGTCTTCTGCTTTAAATTTTTAGGGTATGTTTTACATATTATGATCGGGGCCCTATTTTTATGATCTGGGGGCTTGTACCAAAACTAAAGTCCAAACAAAGTGCTTGATGAATTATTTTTTTACTTCATTTCTTTAGTCAATCTTGCAAATTTTTATGTTTTAGCGTGTTTTAGCGGAAAAAATCAAAAATTACAATTTTTTACTAATAGTATAGCGATGATTTTTGGTACCAAGGTCCTTCATTTTATGTGCATAAAATATAAAGTTCTACTGTTTAGTGGTTTCCATGTTAAATTTTGTTTAAAATTGACTATTTATACAATCTTTTTTACATATTTTTGCAATTTTTGGAATAAATTGTTGTTAAAAGTGACTTTTGTTATTTTTTATTTTTCAGGTTATGCTCTGATTCAATTAAAGATAATTTGGGGGTATTTTTCTATTTTGAGTAACTAGCCCCTTTAGAAAAAAAAACAAAAAAACAAACGATTTTAGCATGATGTACAATTACGTTTATTTTAAGGAAACCGGGAAATTAAAATTTATAGAGACTTAAAAATAACATCTGTTACAGCAAATCGTGTAAAAATATTATAAGCATACTATTATAATTATAAGAATAATAATAATACCTTTTTAATATCCCAAACTAAGTATAATATAGTTTATAACGACTTTTCGATAAATTCAGAGTCGCTCAAAAAATACAACTTGTCTTAACAAAAACACCATATAAAATAAGTAAATAACTAACGTAAGTATTACATTTGTTACTTTTAAACATTTACTTTTGTGTTTATTTTTTATAATGTTTTAGTACCTCTTGATCTGTGACATAATCAACTTCTAAATTGACTGTCCAAAAAATTCTGGAAACACGTGTTTGAGATGCTCCAGGTTCACAGATGATTGTGCAGAGAGAACAACAAACAGCTAATCACAGATGATTGTGCAGAGAGAACAACAAACAGCTAATCACAGATGATTGTGCAGAGAGAACAACAAACAGCTAATCACAGATGATTGTGCAGAGAGAACAACAAACAGCTAATCACAGATGATTGTGCAGAGAGAACAACAAACAGCTAATCACAGATGATAGTGCAGAGAGAACAACAAACAGCTAATCACAGATGATTGTGCAGAGAGAACAACAAACAGCTAATCACAGATGATTGTGCAGAGAGAACAACAAACAGCTAATCACAGATGATTGTGCAGAGAGAACAACAAACAGCTAATCACAGATGATTGTGCAGAGAGAACAACAAACAGCTAATCACAGATGATTGTGCAGAGAAAACAACAAACAGCTAATCACAGATGATTGTGCAGAGAGAACAACAAACAGCTAATCACAGATGATTGTGCAGAGAGAACAACAAACAGCTAATCACAGATGATTGTGCAGAGAGAACAACAAACAGCTAATCTCAGATGTTTGTATTCTAAGACAGCTTATCAATTTAAAAAAACAAACTGATTTAACAACATAATTATTGTGACTGGGCAAAATTTCAAAAACAGATTGGCTAAAAATATGGTACCACGTTATAAAAATGCTTGCAACATTAAATCTACGTGAGGGCAATCACAAAACGAAAGCAAACAATTTTCTGAAAAAAAAAGCAGTTTTCTTTTCCATTCAAAAAACAACCAAGTTGAAAATTTATTTCCTTTGTTTTGTTATATTATTTTTAACTAGCTTTAAGATCTACTGATTCTAAATAAATTTGATAAATCACAAATAATAATAAAAGCACTTTTTTGAGAGGCGACCACATCTATTTCTGTGATTTAAGCATTGTTTTTTGAAGCTTCAAGTTTTCAAGCTTTTCATTTAATAACCTAAAACTCATCATAAAGCAAGGTTTAGGGCTGACAGCCTTGCTGACTCTACTGATAACTCAAATGTACCATCATACCAAATTTGAGACTGTTCAAAAAGAAACATTAAACCAATTGGAGATTTTACCCTCAAATGATCAAATGGCGTTCAATATTTTTTAAGTAAGAAAAATTTCTTTACCAGAACTTTATACATCACACTTAGTACGACTAAAAACTTGGATGAAAAGAAGCCTGAAGCTCAAATTTAAGTTATTCTTACTTTAAATATTTTGTCAATAGGTGGTTCTACCTTTGGTTCTTGTTGCCGGAGATCTTAAAATTAATTTATTTAGATAACTAATTGGATAAGAAAATGTTATTAAAGCTCATGAAAGTTTTGAAAATTTGTGCGGCCGTGGCGCAGTGGTTAAAGCGCTTGCTTTATAAGCAAGAGATCTAGGTTCGAGATCTAGGACATATTTTCGCGTCTCGGTAAAGAAGAGAGGCGTGAACTTCCTGGTTAAATGCACTTCCGCGGTGCTCTGTGACAAAACGGTTTGGTCTTTTTGGGGCGCATAAATAACAAATAAAAAAATAAAAATAAATAAAAATTTTCATAAGCTTTACGATAAATACTAGTTTTTAAACGAATTTTCATTTCTAAATGACTATAATGAAAGAAAGCTAATAAGAAAGCTCTTAAAAGTGTGTTTCGTTTATTTTTGTTGAAAGTATAAAAAAAAATCTTAAAAAAACTTTTTAATTTTTTATCTATTACAACAAAAATAAAATTTACAAAAATTAGTAAACAATTTTAATTTCTTTTATTTACTAAAATGATTAGAAATGTATTTTGGTTTAAAAATAAATTTGTCTTTAAAATCAGTATTAGATTTTAGTATAACATAAACAAACAATCTATATTGCAACAAAAAAAGTTGCAGATTTTAAGACACGCATTGTTAATCATTAAATCTAACAGCTTTTTTTAACAGACGTTACTAAAACATATTTTAAATAAAGTTAATTTTATTTAAATAAATTTTCTGTCAAAATTTATGTATTATTATAAAAGTAAACTGTAACCTAAATTACTTTCAGTTTATTAATTAAATAATTATGCATAAACTAATTAGAAACCAGAGAAACAATTCTACTGAACACTCCAACTAACACGTAGCATTTCTGATTCTTTTGAAGGTTTTCATTATACAATAGGAGTATTCATCAATTTGTCTGAAGCATTTGATATTGTTGATCACTACATTATATTAAAAAAATCAGAACTCTATGGCATTAAAGACAAATCGCTAAGCTGGTTCAAAAGCTTTCTTAGTAATTAAAAGCAGTTTGTTAATATTCCCCAGTGGACACTGACGTAAAAAAGACGTCTTTTAAACGTCTTATACACGTTTTGGACGTCTTTTGAACATCTTTTGAACGTTTTAGACGTCTTTTGAACGTTCAAAAGACGTCTTTTTTTGGTCCGGTACCGACTGGATCAAGATTTTTCTTTGCCGTTATCAATAAATGTAACATGTGGTGTCCCACAGGAACATTTTAATATATATAAATGACTTTACCAAAAACCTTCCAAAATTTTTGCTGATGACACAAACCTATTCCAATCACATGAAAACATAAATACACTTTTTAATAATATGACACAAGAATTATAAATAATAAGACACAATAAAACCTCATATTGGTTTAAGAAAAACAGTCCCTCAATATCAATAAAACAAAATATACACTTTTTTACCCAATATCCAGAAAAAAATGCGTGCCAAATACGATGCCCGACCTTTTTATTGATAATACAAAACTAAAAAGGGAAAAAGTTACAAAACTTATCCTGGAAATAAAAAATCGATAATATCTCCATGAAAGTTGCGAAAAGTATTGGAACTATATATAAAGTTCGACATATGTTAAATAAGCAACAATTAAAACAACTATATTAATCATTTTTCCACTATCATTTAAATTATGCAAATATTGTATGGCACAAAACTATACTTAAATCTCTTTATCAGCATCAGAAACACGCAGCACGCTAAATTAATATTGTAAATCGTTTTTCAAATTCAAAACCACTTTTAAGAGAAATGAAATTCTTACGAACTAAATGTTTATAAATGTAAAAATCATTTATCTCCTTATGTATTTATAAACCTTTATAATGTAAAACCCATAAACAAATACAATCTTCGTAATAGAAAAAAATCTCCAAGAAACTTTTTTAAACACCAAACTAATTTTAAACATCTATTTATCTCTTATAATTGCCCTTATTTATGGAATAAAATAGTTTTGCCTAATTTTGATTTGTCTTTAAAATAGACTTTAACTCCTTTCAAACAAAACTTAAAAGAAGTTATCTTTTTAACATAAAATGTTTTTTCTTGTTTTTCCCAGCAAACAAAAAGATATCTAAAATGCATCTAATATGCATCTAAAAACTGATCTAAAAGATGTCTAAATTCAGGTCTAGAACGGGACATAAATAGACGTCTATCTTATAGACGTCTTTTAGATGCATTTTATTCGACACAAATAATTGCCTTAGATGCATAAAAGATGTGAAATATACATCTTACAGATGCATATTAGATGTATAAAATACGTCTCTTAAATAGATGTCTAAGGCGCGTTTAAAAAAGATAGATAATAGATAATTTTTTAGCTAATAATAGCTCTTTTATGCATCTAATATACATCTAGTATGCATCTTTAAATGTATATTTCACATCTTTTATGCATCTAAGGCATTTATTTGTGTCGAATAAAATGCATCTAAAAGACATCTATAAGATAGACATCTATTTATGTCCCGTTCACGACGTGAATTTAGACGTCTTTTAGACCAGTTTTTAGATGCATATTAGATGCATTTTAGATATATTTTTGTTCGCTGGGACTTGTTTGATAGAAAGGTGTTACAGCGGTTAAACTAGTCATAAAAAAGGATTAAATTAAATAAGTAAAGAAACATTTTAACTAACATTACTTAATTTTTATTTCACAAAAATATACATAAGAAACTATATTTCTGCATTGCCGTCAACATTTTCTTCCACGTCGCCGATATCTAAAATATATACATTAATGACATTTAAATGACTTTAAAAGACATGTAGAATTCTGAATCTATTTTTATAAAATATTATATATATATATATATATATATATATATATATATATATATATATATATATATATATATATATATATATACATATATACATATATACATATATACATATATATATATATATATATATATATATATATATATATATATATATATATATATATATATATATATATATATATATATATATACATATATATAAATATATATATATATATATATATATATATATATATATATACACATATATATATATGCATATATATACATATATATATATATATACATATATATAAATATATATATATATATATATATATATATATATATATATATATATATATATATATATATATATATATATATATATATATATATATATATATATATATACACATACAGTATCGGTCAAAACCAGTGCAACCAAATGATGTTAATTTAGTTTCTTTGTATAAAAGTGTTGCATTTTTCAATTTAGAGAAATAACTATGTAACTGTTTAGAGACAACGTTCTTTAAATTTTATTCATCACAAAGTTCATTATATGTACACGAAAATTAATAAATTAATCAAAAGTATTAAAAAAAGTTGATTATCTTCTGGACAAAAAAAGTACAACTCCACAAAATGTTGACCAAGCTATATTTTGCTATCAATATATTGTGGTGAATCCTTTGTTATTGATCACACCCTTGCATCTTTAAGGCATAGATTCAATCAGGTGATCAATGAAACTTTATGGAATTGTTGCCTAGGCCTTTTGGATTTGTTCAAACAGTTGATCCTTATTACGAACACATTCATGATTAACTCTGCGGTTGACAATCTCCCACAGGTTCTCGATAGGGTTGAGATCCGGAGATTGAGGCGGCCAATCCATCACCAATAGATGGTTGTCTTGAGTGAACCACTGCTTGACTACTTTTGCAGTGTGTTTGGGATCGTTGTCTTGCTGAAAAACCCATTTTATTGGTATATTCCATTCAGCATGAGATAACATAACATCTTTCAGGATATTTTTATACATGAAACCGTCCATTATTCCATCGATTCGATGTATTGGACTTAGACCGTTAGCAGAAAAACACCCCCAGACCATTACATTGCCTCCACCATGCTTCACTGTCTTAAGGCAGTAACGTAAATCAAGGCGTTTTGCGACCACTTGACGTACAGGCAGCTTTAATTGCTTTTGTATCTCAACTGATGATATCCAGGGATCCTTCTTGACAGATCTGACGATCAAAAAATTCTCTCTAGAAGTGGTGGAACAAGGTCTTCCACCATTGTTATCTGCTGCCAACTTCCCTGTGGAACAATATTTGGAACATAGTCTTGATACGATCTATTTTTTCACGCGATATTTATCACAAATACTTTTTTGTGACATTCCACTTAAGTAATCGCAAATAATTTTCTCTCTTAGTTCCAATCCAAGACTGTCAGGAACCATTTTTGCACTTGAAGCCATAAAAATAACAAAAATAAATAATCACGCTTCTCAAGGCTGGTAGCTTCTCTAAGCTTCTGCATGCTTCTGGAAACTTCTGGATGCTTCCTTTAATTATTAAAAAACTTCTGTGACGTTGACACGGACCAGACTTGAGAAAATGAAACAAACCAAAAAAGTTGCACTTGTTTTGTATGCTGCAAAATGGCACTTGTCAACGAAATTCTGCCTGTGTGCTGTCACCTGTCAGCTGATTGCTCATATCATGGCATGCTATGACTCCAGACTCCTGAACTGTTTGCTGTGGTAGTATAGTTTGTTTCATTTTTAAGACATGTAAAATTAGGAACACTTTTTGGCATTGTTCGATGTTGTTTGCAAATGTTTTGTCCAATACTGTATATACACATATATACATGTATGTATATATATATATATATATATATATATATATATATATATATATATATATATATATATATATATATATATATATATATAAAAACCAGAAGATTTGTATCTCAACCAGATACAATAATAAACAACAATTTTTTTATGAAAAAACCAAAGGAACTTGTATTATGGATACAAAAATTCTAGCATGACACAAAAAAGTCGAAGAATATCTTTTTAATATAGATATCAGTTTTGTAAATACTATTAAAACTATACCTCGTAAAACACTCCATATATTTACTAGATTTTCTAAGCTTATCTTTTCCCTATTTCCTTTTCGATTTAGTTTGGACTGTAACTGATTCGAAAATAACCTGATAAATATTTTAACAATAAACTGAAATATATTTATAAAGATTTTGATTTTAATATATGTAATAAATTAAAATATATTTTAATATATGAATGCTTAAAATTATGAAAAGTAAAAGCATTAAATTTAAAAATAAAATGCTAAACAAGGTGTAGCATTACATTTACTTTAGCACACAAACAAACTTAAACACCTACAGTGAAGCTCCCAAGTTTATCAAATTGTCATGTTAAAAGTAAATCCATAACAAATAACGGTCAAAATAAATTGCTTTTGGTCCCTTTTAATCATATTTCTAATAATTAATAAAAACATAATTATTTACCTTTTCATGATCAAAAAAACATGTTCTCTTGGCTTTCCACCACCAATCTTTTTCAAACTATCAAGCTGAAATAAATGTAATAAAAACAAGTTTAACTTAAATTTCTTTACAACATATTGAGCCTAACACAAGCTAGTTATTTTACTTCATTTACAAATACTTTTCATTTAGATTCTAAACTAATAAACCAAATTTAAACAAACTTATTAAAAATTAAGATAATTAGATTATACCAAATTAGTATACTCGATTTTATCTTTTAGTTTATTATCCAGTGTAACCACTTCGTCCACTGATTCTAGCAACTTCACCCTAGTAGCCTGAAACTTAATTTCTATAACTTCTTTTAAAAGAACTTTTATTTCTGCAAGCTCCTTGAGAATAACATTTTGCATCTCTACAAACAAGAATAAAAAGATTGATTAACATATTTAGCTCATAAAACCAAATAGCAAAACAATGAAATAAGAACTTTAAAATTCAAATTATGCTTGAGAAACTCAAACTAAAATTCCAAAAATACATGTAAGTTTTTTTATTATTCCATCGCAGAAGTTGCTATAATATTTTGGAAAACCTACTTTTTAAATCAGCTAAAACTTTATCCTGTAAAAGGTTACGATATTAAAGAATTTTATTTAACTACTAAAGGTAAAATGCTACACACGTGATTTATTGGATCACAATATTATAAATAATCCATTTCTATTCTTTTTTACCTATCTTTTACAATTATTTTAATACAAAAACAAATTAATAAAAAAGACCTCCACATTAACATTCAGTGGTGTAAAAACCAAAAATACTCATATTAAAACTTGAAACTCTTTAAAAATGTGAACTTTGCTTGGTTTTATTCTGTTCATCAATAAAATGTGAAGAAAAATTATCTTCTTCAATCTTTGAATCTGATAACAACTTTATTCAAAAGAAATAATTATAATTAGAACTATAAATAATCCCTCAACCATATCTGTTACTTAATTTAATCTTTCAACCAATTTTGTACTCTTTCAATTTCTGAATTTAAACAATTTCAGCATGCTTTCAATCAATTTTCAATTTTCATATCAAGTTGATTAAAGGATTATTTAATACAATAGAATGTTGTCAATCATATAAATATATGTAACCAATTTAACAACATTACATATAATAGGACACCCAAATAGTTAAAATAAAAGGAAAATCTTAGTAATACATAAAAAAGACTAATAGCTAGATAGATATTATTCAGATCAAATTGAACAAGAATCTATTTCAGTTTATAAACCATTAAGAAAAAATTATGATATTTGTGTTATACTTTTAGCATTGGGCTTATACATAATAGGTGGCGGAGGTTCTGGCAATAAAGAGCAGTATGATTTGTTATTTTTATTTTTAATGCTTTCTTTAACATATATCTCATCTGATGTAGAAAGTTGCATTTTTCACAACATGAAAATGACTCTAATTATAAAACATTTTGCTACAAAAAAGTAATTAAGTTACCTTTAAAAAAAACACAAAACAAGTTAGATACTGACTATCTGTTATCTTACACTTTATCAATGAAAATTTGTGCCATTCTTTTGTTGACGAAAGGTTGTTTTTCAGTGCATGATTATAGTTTTTTTTTGGGACAATAAATTTGTTACTATTCTTTGTCAATCCACTTGTTTAGTGCATAATTACTTGGTTAGAAAAACATGCAGAAAAACTTTCCTTTAAAGTTGGGTTATGCTTATACTCATTAGGCTTTTGGTCATAAGAGTATTCATTGTACAAAATCGATGACTCATGATGGTCAAAAAATTCTTTTAGATTTTTGCAAGATAAGAAACCATTTGTTTTAGAAGTTTGTTTTAGAAGTTCGATTTTTTTTCTATATGTACTGATGAAAATTCTAGTATTTTTTAATGTTCTTTTTGGACACATCTACTTCGTCTCTTTTTGTATGCCCTTTTTGTAAAAGATATAAGTGAATCTTGGTTCCTCGATAAAAACGATAAGTGCACAACCAATAAAACAATCTTTTGTGTTATTGAAAAACACTCATATATATATATATATATATATATATATATATATATATATATATATATATATATATATATATATATATATATTTATATATATATTTTTTTAATTACATTATCTTTTATTCTAGAAGTAAAAATCAACTTGAAAATATTAATTTTGTAATATTTCTGCAAAATAAATTTCAAATCACAAGGATTTTAGCAAACATGCTATGCATCAAATCATCGAAATATTTTGTGAACTATAATAGCATGTTATTTTATTATTTAAAATTTATCAAAAGAAATAATCATTGATGTCTTCCATAGGTTAAAATCTTCATGCTTTTTTCGAAATAAGTTTCCGCAGGGTTTATTAAATGGCGGTCATTTATAATTAACGCTCCGTAAAATTAGTTAAAATTTTTTTCTTGTTTTTATAACAAATCTATAAAAGACATCTTATAGACATCTAAGTTTAGATGAAAAAAAAATTATCTATGCACAATCTATTTTATGCATCTAATATGCATCTAAAACAGAGAAAAAATAGTATCTCTAGAATCAGACGTCTTTTCGATCTCTAATATACGTCTAAAATATACGTATCGGCAATAGATACAAACTAGACCAATTTTAGACGGTCTAAAAGACGTCTATTGTTTGCTGGGTAGACGTCTTTTAAACCAGTTTTTAGATGCATATTAGATGCATTTTAGATATATTTTTGTTTGCTGGGACTTGTTTGATACAAAGGTGTTACAGCGGTTAAATTAGTCATAAAAAAGGATTAAATTAAATAAGTAAAGAAACATTTTAACTAACATTACTTAATTTTTATTTCACAAAAATATATATAAGAAACTATATTTCTGCATTGCCGTCAACATTTTCTTCCACGTCGCCGATATCTAAAATATATACATTAATGACATTTAAATGACTTTAAAAGACATGTAGAATTCTGAATCTATTTTTATGAAATATTATATATACATATATATATATATATATATATATATATATATATATATATATATATATATATATATATATATATATATATATATATATATATATCGGATAAATATATATATATATATCGGACTGGTTTTGTCCGATATATATATATATATATATATATATATATATATATATATATATATATATATATATATATCGGACAAAACCAGTGCAACCAAATGATGCTAATTTAGTTTCTTTGTATAAAAGTGCTGTATTTTTTCAATTTAGAGAAATAACTATGTAACTGTTTAGAGACAACGTTCTTCAAATTTTATTCATCACAAAGTTCATTATTTGTAAACGAAAATTAATAAATTAATCAAAAGTATTAAAAAAAGTTGATTTCCTTCTGGACAAAACAAGTGCAACTCCACAAAATGTTGACCAAGCTGTATTCATATCAATATTTTGTGGTGAATCCTTTGTTGTCGATCATAGCCTTGCATCTTTAAGGCATAGATTCGATCAGGTGATCAATAAAACTTTGTGGAATTGTTGCCTAGGCCTTTTGGATTTGTTCAAACAGTTGATCCTTATTACAAACACATTCATGATTAACTCTGCAGTTGACAATCTCCCACAGGTTCTCGATAGGGTTGAGATCCGGAGATTGAGGCGGCCAATCCATCACCATTAGATGGTTGTCTTGAAACCACTGCTTGAATACTTTTGCAGTGAGTTTGGGATCGTTGTCTTGCTGAAAAACCCATTTTATTGGTATATTCCATTCAGCATGAGGTAACATAACATCTTTCAGGATATTTTTATACAAGAAACGGTCCATTATTCCATTGATTCGATGTATTGGACCTAGACCATTAGAAGAAAAACACCCCCAGACCATTACATTGCCTCCACCATGCTTCACAGTATATATATGTATGCTGCAAAATGGCACTTGTCAACGAAATTCTGCCTGTGTGCTGTCACCTGTCAGCTGATTGCTCATATCATGGCATGCTATGACTCCAGACTCCTGAACTGTTTGCTGTCGTAGTATAGTTCGTTTTATTTTTAAGACATATAAAATTAGGAACACTTTTTAGCATTGTTCGATGTTGGTTGCAAATGTTTTGTCCAATACTGTATATACACATATATACATGTATATATATATATATATATATATATATATATATATATATATATATATATATATATATATATATATATATATATGTATATAAACAAGAAGATTTGTATCTCAACCAGATACAATAAACAAAAAATTTTTTATGAAAAAACTAAAGGAACTTGCATTATGGATACAAAAATTTTAGCATGACACAAAAAAGTCGAAGAATATCTTTTTAATACAGATATCAGTTTTGTAAATACTATTAAAACTATACCTCGTATAACACTCTATATATTTACTAGATTTTCTATGCTTATCTTTTCCCCATTTCCTTTTCGATTAAATTTGGGCTGTAACTGATTCGAAAATAACCTGATAAATATTTTAACAATAAACTGAAATATATTTATAAAGATTTTTACTTTAATATAGGTAATAAATTAAAATATATTTCAATATATGAATGCTTAAAATTATGAAAAGTAAAAGCATTAAATTTGAAAATAAAATGCTAAACAAGGTTTAGCATTACACTTACTTTAGCACACAAACAAACTTAAACACCTACAGTGAAGCTCCCGAAATTATCAAATTGTCATGTTAAAAGTAACTCCATAACAAATAACGGTTAAAATGAATTGCTTTTGGTCCCTTTTAATCATATTTCTAATAATTAATAAAAACATAATCATTTACCTTTTCATGATAAAAAAAAACATGTTCTCTTGGCTTTCCACCACCAATCTTTTTCAAACTATCAAGCTGAAATAAATGTAATAAAAACTAGTGTAACTTAATATTCTTTACAACATATTGAGTCTAACACAAGCTAGTTATTTTAGTTCATTTACAAATACTTTTCATTTAAATTCTAAACTAGTAAACCAAAATTAAACAAACTTATTAAAAATTAAGATAATTAGGTATTACCAAATTAGTATACTCGGTTTTATCTTTTAGTTTATTATCCAGTGTAACCACTTCGTCCACTGATTCTAGCAACTTCACCCCAGTAGCCTGAAACTTAATTTCTATGACTTCTTTTAAAAGAACTTTTATTTCTGCAAGCTCGTTGAGAATAACATTTTGCATCTCTACAAACAAGAATAAAAAAATTGATTATTATGTTTAGCTCATAAAACCAAATAGCAAAACAATGAAATAAGAACTTTAAAATTCAAATTATGCTTGAGTAACTCAAACTAAAATTCCAAAAATACATGTAAGTTTTTTAATCACTCCATCGCAGAAGTTGCCATAATATTTTGGAAAACCTACTTTTTAAATTAGCTAAAACTTTATCCTGTAAAAAGTTACGATATTAAAGAATTTTATTTAACTACTAAAGGTAAAATGCTACACACATGATTTATCGGATCACAATATTATAAATAATCCATTTCTATTCTTTTATACCTATCTTTTACAACTATTTTAATACAAAAACAAATTAATAAAAAAGACCTCCACATTAACATTCAGTGGTGTAAAAACCAAAAATACTCATATTAAAACTTGAAACTCTTTGACAATGTGAACTTTGCTTAATTTTATTCTGTTCATCAATAAAATGTGAAAAAAAATTATCTTTTTCAATCTTTGAATCTGATAACAACTTTATTCAAAAGAAATAATTATAATTAGAACTATAAATAATCCCTCAACCATACCTGCTACTTAATTTTTCAACCAATTTTGTTCTTTCAATTTCTGAATTTAAACAATTTCAGCATGCTTTCAATCAATTTTCAATTTTCATATCAAGTTGATTAAAAGATTATTTAATACAATAGAATGTTGTCAATCATATAAATATATGTAACCAATTTAACAACATTACATATAATAGGACACCCAAATAGTTAAAATAAAAGGAAAATCTTAGTAATACATAAAAAAGACTAATAGCTAGATAGATATTATTCAGATCAAATTAAACAAGAATCTATTTCAGTTTATAAACTATTAAGAAAAAAATATGATATTTGTGTTATACTTTTATCATTGGGCTTATTCATAATAGGTGGCGGAGGTTCTGGCAATGAAGAGCAGTATGATTTGCTATTCTTATTTTTAATGCTTTCTATAACATATATCTCATCTGATGTAGAAAGTTGTATTCTTTACAACATGAAAATGAATACAATTATAAAATATTTTGCTACAAAAAAGTAGTTAAGTTACCTTTAAAAAAAACACAAAACAAGTTAGATACTGACTATCTGTTATCTTATACTTTATCAATGGAAATTTGTGCCATTCTTTTGTTGACGAAAGGTTGTTTTTCAGTGCATGATTATAATTTTTTTTTGGGACAATAAATTTGTTGCTATTCTGTTATTACAATAAACTTGTTGCTATTCTTATTTTTCAATCCACTTGTTTAGTGCATAATTACTTGGTTAGAAAAACATGCAGAAAAACTTTACTTTAAAGTTGGGTTATGCTCATACTCATTAGGCTTTTGGTTATAAGAGTATTTATTGTACAAAATCAATGATTCATGATGGTCAAAATATTCTTTTAGATTTTCGCAAGATAAGAAATCATTTCTTTTAGAAGTTCCAACATTCTATTTTTTTTCTATATGTACTGATGAAAATTCTAGTATTTTTTAATATTCTTTTTGGACACGTCTACTGCGTCTCTTTTCGTATGCCCTTTTTGTAAAAGACATAAATGAATCTTGGTTCATCGATAAAAACGATAAGTGCACAACCAATAAAACAATCTTTTGTGTTATTGAACAACACTTTTGTAATATTTCTGCAAAATAAATTTCAAATCACAAGGATTTTAGCAAACATGCTATGCATCAAATCATCGAAATATTTTGTGAACTATAATAGCATGTTATTTTATTATTTAAAATTTATCAAAAGAAATAATCATTGATGTCTTCCTTAGGTTAAAATCTTCATGCTTTTTTCGAAATAAGTTTTCGAAGGGTTTTTAAATGGCGGTCGTTTATAATTATCGCTCCGTAAAATTAGTTAAAATTTTTTTCTTGTTTTTATAACAAATCTATAAAAGACATCTTATAGACATCTAAGTTTAGATGAAAAAAAAATTATCTATGCACAATCTATTTTATGCATCTAATATGCATCTAAAACAGAGAAAAAATAGTATCTCTAGAATCAGACGTCTTTTCGATCTCTAATATTCGTCTAAAATATACGCATCGGCAATAGATACGCATCGGCAATAGATAATTAGACCAATTTTAGACGGTCTAAAAGACGTCTATTGTTTGCTGGGTTAGTTCTTTTGTTTCATATATTTTATCCAGACATTTATATTTTAAATGCACAGTTATATATAGTGTATGTTGATTTATTTTTATAGATTAATTTGATTTTATATATTTGATATTGTAAAGGGGTTCATTATAAGATCGCCTGATCTTCTGGAAGTGCTGCCGATTATATTTGTAATAAAGCTATTCTGTAATTGTATTTTCTTATTGAAGACAACCCCTTCAAATTGAGGATGGGGGGGGGGTTGAAACTTTATATGATCATAATTTTTGAACACAAAAATATTTTACTATGAAATTTAAAATTTTTTGATGAATATAAGTCTAGTTGAAAATAGTACAAAAATGAGGGAGGCTAAGATTTTGGGATTTCTTGTTCCCATTCTCCTATCACAGTAATTTGTCATACATATTAGCGTAAAGAATTTGGAATATTCTTGTTGTTTATAAGTTGGTTATTTCAAACATTTAAAAACCTTCCTACGCCTCAGTATATATATATATATATATATATATATATATATATATATATATATATATATATATATATATATATATATATATATATATATATATATATATATATATATATATATATATATATATATATATATATATATATATATATATATATATATATATATATATATATTTATATATATATATATATATAATATATATATATATATATATATATATATATGTATATATATATATATATATATATATATATATATATATATATATATATATATATATATATATATATATATATATATATATATAAAATTAATTATTTATACATGTTTTTATTGACAATGTAATGCAAAATGCTCATTCTGCGTAATAAGAATTAATGTATTTTTGAGACACCGCCTAGACATTAATACCATACTGAAATTTCAGAAAAACTATTCAACATTGTGGTTTTTTTTTTTATAGACTATGTATTTTTTAGCCATTTAATTCGAGAGAATATGACAGTTAGTTTTATTGAATGACGTCGTAAACCTAATTTATGTATTACTTATGTATTGTTAATTTTTGCTTGCAAAATTTCGGGTGCATAAAAACAAAATATAACAACTACAAAAAGATACGTCGTTGGTTTTTTAATCATATAATAAGACTTTAGAGTCTTGAAAACATTTACTTTGCTTAATTTTGTTACAAGCGCCGAAAATAATTTAAGGATAAGTTCTATAGCTTGAACTTTATAAACCATTTGACTATATTTGCATCTTTTTTTAGAAGTCAATTTTATTACAAGTTTGTTTTCAACTTTTATAAATAAAATCATGACTCTTTGTACAATTAGAAAACGTAAATATAAGTCCAAAAACAATTAGTACACATAAAGCTGTAAACGAAAAAAGTTTTTACACCACCAATCGCAAGTTGTTCAAGTGCAGTTCAATTGCAATTGTTCAAATGGTCATGTTTGATAATAAATGATACTGAAGGTTGAGAATAAAAAGGATGAAAATGTGAACAAATTTAATGTTATTATGAATTTTTCGATTTAAAAAAAATGTTTAGTAAGCACGTTCGTTGCCACGAATTATTTTGCAAGGTTTGGGAAAGAAATTGGGGAAAAAACGACTTATCTTACAACTTGAAATTTTTTTAACATTTTTTAACATTTAAAACTTCAGTAATGAATAAAAAAAGCGCAGATGTTAATACACTAACTGTCGTTGCTTTTTTAGAAATAGGAAAATAATTATACATCCGTAGAATCATTTATTCCATTATTAACTTTACAGAGCTATGGACAGTAATAAGGAAGAAGAGCTATAAATAGGACAGTAATAAGGAAGAAGGATCAAGGGTAGGACAGTAATAAGGAAGAAGAGCTAAAGGTAGGACAGTAATAAAAAAGAAGAGCTAAGAATAGGACAGTAAAAAGGAAGAAGAGCTAAGGATAGGACAGTAACAAGGAAAAGTTATAAAAACATTTAAAAAAAATAAAAATAAAATTATTAAATTAAAAACTGGTCAATTTGTGGAAATTGGGACAAAAAACAAAACAAAACAAAAAAAACTCAAATTGAATAGGTTATATGACAAAATTGTCGTTCATAGCAGGAATCAATAGAAGAAATTTGTCATTATATTATACTTTTGTAGAATAATTTAAAATTTTCACAAATTATTTCTTGTTGTGTTATTTGGGGTTTGTGAATTAAATTCTTATTTTTATCTTTATAATCTTTAATATTTTCTTCATTATTTTGGTTGGTTTTAATGTTTTTTTGGGAAAAAATCGTTACTTTAAAAATTATTTACCTGTTTTACTCAAAAGTGGTTGAATCTCTTAATAATGTTAATAGTACTTTAAAAATCTCTCAAAATTCTCAATAACTTTGTGAAGCTTTAGAATCATGTTTGAGAAACTTTTAAAGTCTACTGAAATTAATTAGTCCTTAATTACTTAATTACTACTTTTTTTTCAAAATATAAAATAAAAAGTAGAGCTTAGTTGAAATAAAATTTATGTTTCATAACAATAGTTTATAAAAATTATTTTTATTTTAATGTGAGCTGCTACCTTATTATTATTATTTTTTTTTTTCAATATTAAAATTAGATTAAAAGTTGCCGTCAGATTGCCGTCTGTTGCCGTCAGATTGCCGTCAGATTGCCGTCTGTTGCCGTCTGTTGCCGTCTGTTGAAAAACCTTAAGAGTTTAATTTTATGTGAAAAATCCAGGACCGCAACTCTTAAACGTAAAAATATTTTGAATTAATTTAGAACTAGTTTGATGCTGGACCAGCTTTTGCTACTGCATACGTACTTCGCATATTTAAACTACTTTAGCTAATGTATACGATAGATGTGATTTTGTCATTGTATAAGCTGTTGCATACGACAAATTTGTCTTTGCGTAGGTCGCTGCATACGCCATTTCTGCATTTGTTGCCACATGCTTCTCTACCAAAAACAGTTCTCTTGTTGCAACTGCATGAGCTTTAAACAAAGTTAAAAGCAAAACAAAAAATATCTAAATGCTTTCATCATTTTCCTAATTTTTCTTATTCTGATGTAAATTTTATAAACAATAATAAACTTTGCGCGATTGTATATACTCTCTGAATGATTAAATGAGAAATAAGAATTATTAAAATACCAGCTGTTAATCAATTAAACCTCTATTAAAACCTAACCATGCTAATGGATTAATAAAAATCTTTCTATTTGTTTTTATAAAAGAAATAGAGTCAGATTTAGAAAAGGAATCAGAAACACTTAAATATATGTAATAATCACCGTGTGTCGCTAATTCTTGCTTGTTTCTTCAGCTTCGAAGAAAAAAATTATATAAACATTTAAAAAACTAAATAAATAAAATGGTTTTTACAAGAAAAACACAACATTTAATACATGTAAAATTATTTTCTACTTATGAAATACGCCTTTAAATGAAAAAAGGGTTAAAATAAAGGTATATTATTGTTTTTACTGTGTATTATATTCATATTTTTTTTTGTAAATATATAATATATAATCTTGACAGCTTATCTTAGAAATAATACGAAGTATTTAAAGTACGGTTTTATATATAAATGTAAAAACAACAAAAATCAATAACGACTTTTTGAAAACTTTCAGTGTTATATTATCCAATATTGTTTAATTAAAAAACAGTTATTTTATCAATTAAATGAACAGTTATAAATTCATTGGAAGTTATTTGAATAAGAATAGAAAAGATTCTATGGTAAATGAAAAAACAAGTTGTTGTGGTCGTAAATTATTAATGTTTTATAAGGTTAATAATAGTAAAACAGATATTGAAATATGAAATAATAAAAAAATATTGGTTTTCCCTCATTTTCAAGAGCTTTTCTGGGCAATGACGGAAGTGTTTTTATTGTTGCTTAAGTAAACGTACTTTATAATTAACTTGCATCCACTTTAATTTAACAAGGTTTCATTCATACAATTAATTAAGAGTGTTACTATTATTTTTATTTATTGTTTTAATTTCATTTAAATAAACTGCATTACATATATACACACATATACATACATACATATATATATACATACATACATTTATACGTACATACATAGATATGCATACATACATACATAAATACATACATACATACATACATACATACATACATACATACATACATACATACATACATACATACATACATACATACATACATACATATATACATACATAAATATATGCGTGCATGTCTGCATGCATACACACATATACATACTTACATTACAAACTTCTGTTTTTTTTCTTATAGTAGATAAATAATAAATAACAAAATTTAAGAATAATATCTTAATAACAACTCAAAGATAAAAATTTAATAATAGTTAGAATAATATTAAAAAATAAACAAAAATTAAGATATATTATATACTTAAGATAATTAAATATATCTACCTCGTGTATATATTTATTTAAAAAATACAAAAATTAGCTATCCATTATTAAATATTTATTTTTAAACTGATACTTATTATATTAAGTTGTCTTATCTATTATTTAAAAATATATTTATACACAAATACTATATTTACACACGGTGGTTAAGTAATTTTCTAAAATAAAGCATGCTATGGAGTTTAAATATAAAATTTGAAGTAACAATAAATTACGTCATGCAACCAAGCAACATTATTTGTTACTTTGAACTGCGTGACCGGAAATCCATTTAATTATTAACAAATGAATCTCTAAAAAACAAAAACAATCTTGTCTGAGTGAAAAAAAAAAAAAAAAAAAAAAAAATTAAATGTGAAACTATTTGTTTGTTTTGTAATAATTTCATTTTAATTTATGCATTATTTAATGGAAATAGTATACAAATATTTATTTTTAATTAAAAAAGAACGTTTTAAAGATTATGCTGCTTTGCTCAAAAACATTTATCATTTTAAATTTGTAATTTCTACTAAATAGTCTCTAATCTTTATTTGATTCCATTAGTGTATTTTTATGCAGCTAAAGAGTAATTATGTTATTGCTAAAAATATATCAATTTATAGTAAGAAATCAAAATTCACTCTTTCTCAACATTAAACCTTCAATTAATAAAGCTTGAAATTAATGCGGTCTTTAAAATTGATTTTTTGCTATTTTTTTTTAAATACGCACTCTGTTATACAGTATATACAATATATATACAAAATACAACTCTGTTACATATATCAAAATCCTAATTGACATACATTGTTTAATTATGTAATTACATAATTTATGCATAGTTTTTTTTTATTGTGTCTATTATTTTTACTTAGTTACAAGCTACGTAAATTAATGTGCTATTACGAATATTTTTAGGGATTTAGCAATGATAACCGATCATATACCTACTATGAACTTTACTTCTGACACAATGCCTGAAGTTATAAACAATGGTTTCTATAAAATTGAAAATAAAATAAGTCATTACCTAAATACTAACAAAGAGTTCACGAACCAGTTTGTAATAAACTACTTGCATTCAAATACCGAGTTTGCAGAACAATATTTTATAAAATATGCATCCATGGATTTAATTGAAAAATGGTATGATGTACAAATGACTGATAAAATAAAAGGCTCTCGAAGAAAGGTTTCCACAAACAGTATTAACGATTTTGAAGGTGAGGTGTTTCCAGTAAGCAAAGTATCTTTAGAGAGTAATCCTGAATTGGAAATCGAAAATAACGGTTCTGATTCAAACAAATACCCAACAAGTATTCTGCGTAGAAAATCTGAACCATATCGACCAGACGTTAAAATGGAATATTTAAATCCGTCCTCAAATGAGGATGCGTTAAATTCTAACTGCTTATCTCCGAAGTTACGCGTACTTTCAAATAAAAAGCATCGAACCAAATCCGACGACGATATTATATGCGATAATCAGTCAAATAAAAAATATGAATTTATAAAGGACGAAGAAACAGACTCTCGATGTAAAACACGAAATTTATTACGCTTTATACAGTCGTCTGTTTACTCAGGGTCTGCGTCGGCAAGGCTAGTAAATTTTGAAAATCGCATGCAAAAAAGGCAAATATGTGAACACGACGTTATGTTCGATGTACTTACAGATATAACGACAGATTTAAGTTTAAATAGAACATGTCTAAAAATCGTTTTAAACTTTGGATTTTTATTAAATTTTGATAAAGCATCTTTATATTTAGTGGAAAAAAATGAAAGTGGAAACTTTTTAAAACAAAAAATTCATAATGTGAACATTGATGAACACGTTGGCTACGAAAGCTTTTCGTTTCCAGGGTTACTCGAAATTCCTTTTGGAAAGGGACTGATAGGACAAATCGCAGTTCTCGGTGAAAGTTTTATTTGTAATGATCTCAGCAAGGTAGGTTTTTAGCACATAAAATAAATAACATCCTTTTTTTTGCCAAACAAAAAGAGTCAGTTGTTGGTAAAAGGAAAATTAAAGTTATAGTAAAAATAGAAGAAAGTTAAGCAAAGTTTCTTTGTCAATGCCAATTTTCTAGCTTTTTGTTTTAAATAAGTTGTTTTTAAAGAATCCCCTATACTTCAATCAAATATGTAAAATAGTTTCATTGTAATATTGATTGATTTGTTTTTAGATTTCATTGTAATATCAAAGTCTATAGTATAGGCTATCCTATAAACTATATAAAGGATAGCTTATGGTATACATATATATATATATATATATATATATATATATATATATATATATATATATATATATATATATATATATATATATATATACATATATATATATATATATATATATATATATATATATATATATATATATATATATATATATATATATATATATATATATATATATATATATATATATATATATATATATATATATATATATATATATATATATATATTTAAACAATTTAAAATATATTCTACAAAAAGAGTGCTCAATGTTCTTAAAAAAACAGAGCAATTACAAATTAGTAGAAAATCACTTAGCAAAATTTTTTCTCGTTAAACACTGTGTTTCATCAACAAAGACTCATCAGAAATCTGATGAGTCTTTATTGATAAAATGATTTCTGATGAGTCTTTATTGATGAAACATAGTGCTAAATGAGAAAAAATTTTGCTAAGTGATTTTCTACTAATTTATATATATATATATATATATATATATATATATATATATATATATATATATATATATATATATATATATATATATAAACTATATGCTATACTATCAACTATATTACATACAAAATAATAGTGTTCTCTTCCTCAATATACAGGGAAAGTGATCACCACCATAATTTTTAAATCATAAATAGCTTCTCAATTTAGGGACCTTGTGGAACACTGTCACTTGCCACTAGCTTGTATTTTGTCAAGAAAAAAGAATTAAGAAAATTTTTATTTTGGATAGTAATTTGAATTTGATATTTGTTCAACTATTAATTGTTACAGTAAGTAGTGTTTTAAAAATACTATTGATTCTAACGGTACTAGATAGTATCAGCTGTCTTCATGTACCAAAATCACTTCACAGATAACATGTGCCTTTTTTCTATTGGGCTCACAATTGCGCATGAAATAAATAGCGTCAAAATAATACAAAAAATTATTTAATAAAATGAATTTCAATTTTATTTTGAAAGATTTAAAATTATTTTAAGAAATAAATAAATAAAAAGTACTATATATTAAAAAAATATGCTTAGCATTCTTTTTTTTTCCAACAACAATAAAAAACTAACAAATTATATTATTAGAAAGATAAGAAAAGTGATAATTTGATTTACTTTTAAATTTATTTTAGTCAATTTTGAAAAACTCTTGTCTAAATTTAGACTGCATAAAAATGGGTAAAAGTTTACTACATCTGATTAGTCTAATATCATCTATACACTTTTTTTCAAGATCATCTGCATTTTTTTAACTTTAACAACATCTGTCCAATATCATTTTTTGATATTGGACAGAATATTCAACAATCCCTAATAACATCTACAGGAAGTTTATTTCATAACAATTTATCAAAAGTTTTGTAAATATATAATATAATATCTCTTAATATAATTTCTGAAGTTTGAATGTAACAACAAAATATAACAATATTTCAAATCAAAATGATAATTTGCTTAATAAATACTAAACTAAAATGAAAAGTATAATGTTAATATAAATACAGCCTCAGTATTTTTATTTATTTATTTAGCTATCTCTTTACAAGTTAAATGTATTTTTGTAGTTAATTTTTTTCTAATGTTAGATGAGTTTTTTTTGTGTGAAGTTTTTTGCATCTAGTTTACTAAAACCATTAAAAAAAAAAAAACAATTTTTGCCATGCTCTATTTGACTGGTAACTTCTGTTAAAGTGACCACCTTGTCGAGTATACTTCACAATTCTTCATTTAGAAATACAAATAATTCATTTTCACTTGGTATTGTATTATGAATAAAACATTATGCTATAATTATTCTATTATTATTCAAATTATTATCTAAAATTATTTTATTTTTCATACTGATAAAATGAAATAATTTTAAAAATTCTGTTTTGTGAGTTTACCAGTTACATTTCATCATAATTCTGATTGCTTTGCTTTGAAAATTTTCTAGGGTATCTAAGTTATCATTATTTACATTGAGAAAAATAGAGACACATTGTTGATAGTATAATGGTTTGAAAGATTAACTTTTAGCTATTTGCTTTTCTAGCTTTTTAGTCATTTATATAAAGTGTGTGACAATATACACCTGATTGTTTTTTATAAATTGCTTTAGATTTTTAGCATATTGGTCATCTAAATGAACATTAATGTTGAAGTCACCAAAAATGATAACATTTTTGAATGAGACAATCCAATCATCTAAAAATTCCAAGAAAGTTTTTTTCTCCTTAAGTGATTTATGTAAAGAACTGTAATGAAAAATAATTTTATTATTGATTAGTTCAGTAGATAATAACCTAAAAATGATTCTAAATTTAAAAAGGAATAGCCAATAATTTGAAGCTTTTTATCACATTAGGTGATTTTAGTCAGTCCAAATAAGTGAGGTTTCTATTTTCATGTTAATTCTTTAGAATATTTTTTGAATGTTTTAATATTTTTTCATCTGAACTCTTTTGATAAATTTTATTACAGCCTTACTTGATTTTATATAGATAGAGCATTAAAATTAAAATATTTTGATATAATTTTTCATATGTTTTTGTTTTGATATGATATAGTTTCATTTATTCAGTAAAATTAAAGTTCAAAATAAACAGTTACAAAGCATTTTCAGATAGATTATTTTTGAAAAAATTAGACGGTATTTTTGTTTTTAATAGTGTTTGTTTTCATACCAATCTGGATAATTTTGAAAGAATATTTGCGATGAACTATTTACAGCTGTGGTTCATCACAGTCTTGCAAATATATCCAGAATGGTAGGATAAAAAGCACTATTAAATGTAACAATGCTGGTTTCATTTACTAAAAGTAACATACTGATAATTAGAATTTTAATGTTTTATCTATACAGCCTTACTTTTTTTACATCTTAACAAAATGAAATCACAGCTTGCTCATCAAGAAAAACTGGTGTTGCTATGGAATATTTTTGATTAACACATAGTTTTAAGAAGAAGTTTGATAATATGGCATACTTAAAGGCGAGTTAAAGCAACTGGTCATTATGCATGTCAGATTTAACTGGATCTGACTTTTTTATTTAGAGATATTTAAAAGAGTGTTTGGCATAATTCAACTTCAATTCAATATTCAAGAAGAGATTCAATAAGTAACACTAGAAATTTTAGAAAATGTTAATAAGTAACACTAGAAATTTTAAGCATAGTTATGAAAAAAGCTTTTGAAAGAACATGACTAAGCAAAGTTAAAAAAACACTGATACATTCTTTGAACATTTTTGTCTTTTGCATAGAGATGCATAAAAACTTTTTTGAAAAATGAAAAAAACGGGTAAAAGCAAAAACAAAAACCCAACAAAAACCCTTAGTAAAACTCCAACTCCCCTTTGCAAAAAACATGATAGCAAAAAATTTGATTTGATATTTTTTTGCTATCATGTTTTTTGCAAAGGGGAGTTGGAGTTTTACTAAGGGTTTTTGTTGGGTTTTTGTTTTTGCTTTTACCCGTTTTTTTCATTTTTCAATCTGTTTCTCCTGACTGTAAAAATTTGCTTAAAGCTAAAGGATTTTTGTGGTTACTTATAATAATTCAGAAGATGAATGTAAATTTTTTCTATTAATTTGGAGAAAATGTTATGTCAATAACTTTCAATAAAAAACAGTTTGAAAAGATTCTTTTACATTGGTAATTTTTTAAAGATTTAAATTAGATGTAAAAGTTGATAAGTTGGTATTAAGCAATTTTACAGCAAAAATTTCTGTCAACTATTTTAAAATAATTAATAAAATATTTTACTATGTTTAAAAAAATAAAAACATGATAATATATAAATAACTTCCTTAATACTTGGGATCAAGTAGATAAGCAGCCATATGAATTAAATATGAATTTCAGTGAAGTAATTTTTTTTTGCTTAATAGAAAAAATTTCTGCTTTCTCTTATTTTGTTAAAGGACTGCTTACTATGTCTTGGTTATTATTATCTTCTATTTTATAAAAAAATTTCAACAACAGATGAAAACATTGGGGTACGGCCTTTTGTTGTCTTGACTGATATAAGAGGGTTTTTTTCTGTTTAATCTTAAGGCACACTATAATGGAACCCCACCAAAATCATAATAAAAAATCATAGATTTGAATCACATATCCTATTTTGATAAAAAAAGGTTCGAATTAAATTAAAAAAGATTCTTTTAAAATGTGTTAATTATTTGTATAAAACATGCAATGACCTGTTTTTACTGGAAGTTTCTATATAATGCTTGATTTAACTGTTAATTTTTGAGTTTTTCTAAATATTGGACTTAATATATGCAATTTTTTGATTTTATTTTCAATACTTGTTGCTTGTAACATAAATAAAAAATAATAATAAATAGTTTTTTAAATCATTAAAAAGCAAATTAAGACTTTAATGCTATATATATCATCAGCAATTAAAATAAGAATAGCTCTCTTTTTGTAATTTTCATGCATTATATATATTTTTTCATGCATTATATATCATTACTATATTTGCTTCATTATCTGTTATTATTCCAAGACCTTTTTATGAATAATTTCATCTAATACCCTATGTATTTCATCTGCTATGTATTCAACAGAACAACTCAATGAAACCTGAAAAACTAAAAAGTGTTTGACATTTCGTATCTTGTTGGAAGCTTATAAGCTGGGCGGGAATTATTTAAAAAAGTTTTCCAATATCTGTTATCAAGTAAACATAGATGCGCATCAATTGATTCCTATAACAACAATAATCTCAGATAAACATTTATTCTATACAAAAAAAAATGTTAATACATTTTCAAATTGTTTAAAGCTATCAAACATTGAACAGGACTTACCACTTTTAGAAATTGGTTCTAAATGCTTTATACTGTCTTTAGTAATGTTTGTGATATTTGTGCTATTACAATGCTTACTTGAAATAAAGTTTTAAAATTTATTTTTTTTACTTTGCATTGTTTCTGTTGTGGCTTTTTGGCATGACTATGTCATTGTTTAAAAATTTGTATTTGACTCCGTCTCGATATTTTCTATACTTTTATATAGAAAATACATACTGAAAATTTAAAAAAAAATTTTAATTTAAAAAAATAAGCAAAAATAGACAACTCTATTACATTGTTACTGTATTTTGTCTGTAATAGACAACTCTATTACATTGTTTACTGTATTTAAATCAAAAAAAAGTAAAAATAAGTTTTTACTTTTTTTTGATTTTCATTTTTAACTAGCTGAAAATATTCCACGAACAATCGTAGAACTTGTAAGACAAAACTGATTAATTGGTATGCTAAATAAAGGAATGAAAAGTCATTTATTATCACCTAAAAACAAACTTTCAGTGTATTAAAGATAAGAAACATAGTCTTATTCAAAAATGCTGAATTTTGGTTATATTAAATTATATTGATATATTATTTTGTTTATATTATAATATATTACATGTTTTTTGCTTATATTATATTATGTAATTGCTATATTGGATTTCTTATATATTAAGAAAAACATTTTCTCTCTATAAGTTCTACTTCAATTCAAGGAAAAAGAATGCAGATAATAATATAATATTTATAGTATTTATGTAGTAATATATAGTTATATTATTAACTATGTATTAAATATATAGTAAATAATATAATAATTATACAGCTGCAGTTATGGGTTTTATAATTGAAATTATTTACTTAACTGTGTATAATTAGAAATTATTAGAAAGTTATCACATTGTTGTGTATAGCTGTGTGATTGGTGATTTTACTCTTTAAAATATGTTAGTGAAGGTTACTATGAGGTTCTTGTTTTTGAATTATGT